ACATGGGGTGATAAATTCCCGTGTCGACTCGCCCGAGTCCGTTATGACTCGGTGATGTTTAAATCACTAGTTAGATGTAATGTGTTCAGGTTCTCAAAGTGATGGATGATATGATGCAGCCCAAACTATGTGATGGTATAGATGGTTGGGTAGGTCTTTAGATAAAAGATAATGGGTTTTTAATGAAATGGAATGTACTAATATGAATGTATGGATGAAGAGTGGCAACCGATGGGTGAATGGAAAGATAATGTGTTTTCAATGATAAGGCTAAATGCATAGGCTTTGCGACGTTTTGGACTATTTCAGAGTGTGAAGTTCTGAATTGGTATTTTCCTTAGAAAAGAAAAAGGAAAAAAATAAAGAAGACTGGAAATTCGTTTCGGAACTTGAAGTTCCTCAAAAAATACAAGGGACTTGATATGGAACTTTTTTGAACTGGGGTCACTTGTTTTTTTCTTTGAGTGCAAGACCAGTTTTGATCTGGCTCTTTATCAAAAAATTCTCAGTTTGGAGCTAGCGCTGTTACAAAAAGAGGAAAACCCCAGTTCAGAACCAGCGTACTTACAAAAAAAACCTATAGTTCAGAACTAGAACTTGAAATTTCAAAGTCTCAAAAGCAAAAAAGTCCCGTTTAGGATCTTCAAGTTCCGAATTGGGGGTATTTTGGGAAAATTTAAAATCTAAAAAAATTGGTTCATGAATACTTGGGGACATTTTTTAAATTTTGAAAAATTCTTTCACTCGTCTTTGGGAATGAAAATGAAGCGGTGAAGGGATTAAAATATAAGGTCTTTTGATTTGTGATGGGTTAATATGGAGTAAAAGTTCATAGCCCTTTCAAAATCAATCAAATTGCCAAATGTGGAGAAACCAGAAATGATCGTGGCTATGCGTGATGGATACATACATCGATGGGTATGTATGTCATGCTTTTCATGGGCGGTGATGGAAATGCCATGAATGGATGTAAGATGTATATATGCATGGATGGAGTGGAGATGGTAGGATTTTGTGTTTCTGGGTTAGTGAATCTATGGATGGACGGATTGATGGATGGGCTAGATGGAATGTGTTCAGGGTTCTCAAGGTGATTGGATGGTATGATGTAGCCCAAGAAATGTAATGGTATTGATGGATATTTAGGAGTTTTAAGTGAAATGGAATGCACTGATATGGATGTATATATGATGAGTGGCAATGCATGTATCGATGGGTGAATGGATCAATGTTGTGGATGAATGCATGGCTTTTGGCTCTTTTTGGACCAGTTAGGAGTGTTTCAGAACCAGTCTTTTCTTCATTGAAAAAAAGGAGATAAGGAGACTTTGTTTGGAAATCTCAAAAAACAGGACATGAGCTTAAAAATATAAGCATTGGACATTTTTTAAATACAGAAAAAAATAAGTAATATCTACAATAATTGTGTGTATAAGGAACATTTATGTTAATTTTGTGTGTGTGTGTGTGAGTGTGCGTGCACGAGAGGGAAAAGTAAGGAAGATTTTGGACTCGAGGAGCAGTTTTTATTCTGAATAGGAGAGCCAGAAAGGGCCTTTTGAGACTTTTAGCTCCTTATTGGCCCATTCCGTATATTTTGTGTTTCCTTGTTGTTTTCTTATACTAAAAGAACCTTTGGAAAAGATGAATCATCTGTGCATGTATTTTATACACCTAATCACTATACATTGTTTACTGATCATTTACTCTTCACTGCTGTTAAAAAACAATTCATTTACTAATCACATTTACATTTGTAAAAAGTATAGAAGATATTTTTCATTCTGTGTGTTTTTACATTTCGGATATTTTTGCCCCAGGTTTTTGTGCTTGTTTGGCTAAAAAATTCACAAAAAAGAAAAGAAAATAAAAACTCATTCCTAGATTGGTGCTGTCCGTTTGCTGCTGCACAAGTGGTTTGGCCTCTTTTGTCAAAGCAAACATACATAAGCTGAAGTGTTTGAAGATCACTTAATGCGTGGCTATATTTCGAAATTGTCCTTGTTGGCCAAATGCGAATTCTTCAACATTTTTCAGTGGAGTGAATGATGGTATTGGTAGTAATCAATAATTTAAAGGGAGCCAACTAGATAGGTGTAGGTCCATGAACTAGCGAATTTTCAAGTTCTATGAGTTTCTATTTTAAATATTTTGTGTGGCACTGTATTTGTGTTTGGTGGATGTGCAAATTAGGAACATGGTTTTACATGGTGGTGCATGTTGGCGATGTTGACTATTTTCTAGTATTTGAGGCTCTTGAGGAGTTTGATTGGAGGAACTGATATTGTGGATTTTATAGGCGGGGCAAGTTCTATGAAGAAGTGGATGGTGAAAAGCTGAAAGTTTAGTTGGTGAGTATGGGAGAGAAGCAGTAGCTTCCAACAGTTCGGGAGTTTGGAGTGCATGAAAAGTAGTTGTAATATGTGTACACATGCACTTATGGGATACTGTATGCTGGCATCACACTGGTCAATATTGATGACAGTGACATTGACAGTGGATGGGTGTGATGAACTGTCCACACTCAAGACCTTTGAATCCGGTTGAGCAGATGAAGATGAACGGTTGACGTCAGCAGAATAATGTGGTAAATATTATATAAACAAATCATTACCTATTCGGAGGGTGAGATACACCTGCTTTGTGTAATTCGTATTTTGCGTGGGTAGAGGCCAAAGTCTTGCATGCATGGGTTTTGCAACTTGTCAGACTTATATGAGCTCCCTATCTGTTTTGAAAATAGCTATTGGAGCTTTCTACTTGGGTGGAATTTCTTTCTTGTAGGTGCGATTTGAACCTAGAATTTATGCTGCAGCCCCTTGAAGTCCCCAATGACTGAGCCAGTAACAACTGGGGTAGTACTCTCACACCCAAAACTAATACTTCTGTGGCATACCCTTTGCAATTCCCACTGGAAATAGCTGCCTCTACTACTCTGATAGCATTCTGTCATTCTCTAGGCATTTTAATAACTTACGGATGAATTAGAGTTGGAAGTGGAGAAGTATTTTATCTAGTATTTCTTACACAAAGTGCTGTGCAATACATATGGGAGAATATTAGATCTGGCCAAGGGCTATGCAGAATAGCATCCACCCTCCCCTATTTTAAGGGCCTTACGGGCATTTGCTTCACCTCCAATTTGGTGTAGACATCCTTGTGCTCTGGGTGACAAAGATCGTGAAAAAAATTTAAGGCTAGAAATGTTTATTTTTTTTTTAATTTTAGTAGAGAAAAAGCATTGTCCATTTTTGGAAAGGAAAAATGGTGTTGGTCAAATTTTGTAGTTTGCCTCATCATCACAAGATAATTTTTTTTTAAGAAAGTTGATTTGAGCTCTTAGGCTTGATATAGCTGCCGATGATATTATTGATCTGCGGTTATCAAGTTCAAAATATAATAGCTATATTTTTAGGTGTTTTTCTTCAATGGGCTTCTCCATCACAGCCAAGAGAATGTGTGCCAAGTTTAGGCCAAAACACATGCCCCTAAGGCCCCCAAAATGGGGTCGGGTAGGCCAATGAATTTGTTTCCCAAAATATATTTGATGCATACAACAAAAATGTCATTTAAAATCTAACACTCTTGCAGTCTTCCTGAGGCATTTTTAATAGTTAAGCATCAAAAAATTATTATGGGGTAATGAGAATTTTAATAAGCATTTAATGGGAAGTGTCGGGTAAAATGTATTTGATGCATTTTCGGCCCCTGCAGTTTAAACCATTAGTGCCGTGGTTGTGTTACTCTTTCAATGTCTGCAATCACATGGTCATTGATGTAGGAAGGGTTTCAAAAATTGCCGGTTGAACTGGATGCAGGTTAACCGGCCTGTTCTTGCTCGGACTCGGTGAGTCGGCCTGCTAACCTAACCCTTTACCAGGCTTTTCACATGAAATAAGCTTTCTAGCAGTTTGTTTCTGGCTTTTCTGGTACTGGGTGCTTTTTTTATTTTCTCAAGTTTTTTCCATCAAAAATTCTTTTTTTCTGCTAGATTCTAGAACTCATGCTCATGCTCTGGCGGTGGTGGTTGATGGGCACGTGCCTGAACATAATGTAAAAGAACACAAAGTTTAATAAGCATTAACAGTGTATCTTCAGTTTTGGAGGAGACTGCTGCAATTGTTGCGAATTTGAATTATTCTGAATTTGCAGCGTCATGTTCCTGCAAGATTTAAAATACTGGTTAGAGGGTGTAGTGAATTTTTTTTTTGGTAGGTGAGCGAATCAAAGTAGAAAAGCCTCAAAGATCACCTTCCAATTTGCCCTCATTCTGAATTCCGAATTGCTAGCCTTCCCAGTACAGCATCTAATCTGATGCAGTCTTGGATGCAGTAAAATTTTAATTCCTTGGTTTGCAGTCGGTACAATATATTAATATCTAGTTCTCAAAACAAAAAGTACCCATCATCGGTTGCACTATGTCATGATGTATTATAATTCCAGTCTTTTAGTTTGTGGCCTATAAAAATTATTGCTGTGTATATGCTTTTTGTGGAATGTCTTAATAACGTTTTGATTTCTTTTGGGATGGGAAGCTTGCTTGCGTAGGTTGTTTCCAACTTTATCTTCTATGACTCATCTTGATCACTTTTTTTTCAATCAATCTCAACATTCATCACACTATATTTTTAGTTCTCCCGAATTTTCTTGCCTTTGAGAATTCAAGCTTTTGACACTATAAAGTTTTGAAAAATGAAACTTCAATTTAAGCAGACCGCAGAATATGTGGAGTTTGAGAATGCTAAGTCTATTACATGAAAGGTGCCATGTATAATTCTCAATATGAGCAGCATGCTTGAATAACCCTCGTCCAATATCTACAAAGTGATTTTTGGAAACTAGGTTCCTTGTTTTTTGTGAGGATACTAGGTTGTTATTTGTGCAAGTTTTGCATTCAATAAACAAAAGTAATGTCTGAAGATTTCCCCCTCCCATCTTCTTGAGTTGTATTTTCTTGTGGAATTTCTCAATGACCGAAATGCTATTGATGGGCTGCACAGACCGACTGGGAAGGTGGCTACTTCCCTATCACACTTCACTTCAGTGAAGACTACCCAAGCAAACCTCCAAAGTGCAAGTTTCCTCCTGGCTTCTTTCATCCCAATGTGTACCCTTCTGGAACTGTGTGTCTCTCCATTCTCAACGAGGACAGTGTGAGTACATATGTGGAAAATAAATGATCTTCCTGTATTTACTTGGCATGCACTGCACACTGCATGGCATATTTTGATAGGACTTGTTGGTCGGATTCTTTATAGGGGTGGAGGCCAGCCATCACTGTGAAGCAAATTCTTGTTGGGATTCAGGATTTATTGGACCAGCCAAACCCAGCTGATCCTGCCCAAACAGATGGATATCATCTTTTCATCCAGGTTAACGCGTACTTTGTGTTTGTTCTTTTTTCTTATTGCTTCGTCACATATTTTTTTTTGAAAAAGATGTTGCCTTTGTTAAATGTTTTACACCCCGTGTATGTATATGGGTGTTACAGGAACCGGCAGAGTACAAGAGAAGAGTGCGACAGCAGGCGAAGCAATACCCTCCTCTTCTATAGTGGTGGTAGCAGAACCATCTGCTAATTTTAGATTCTGCAAATTCTTTGCTCTCTATATAAGTGGAAACCATCTCTTTTAAGTGTAGTACTGATTGGTTCTAGGCTCTCTCAGAATACAAGTCATATTGGATCTCTCCTTGGTATTTGGTGTGCTTCATCTTTATTCACACTACTCTTTATTAAATGTATGTATCTCCCAAACTTACTGTGAACTTGTCACCGAGGTATGCCTCTGTTCATGTGTGTGTTGCACGGCCCCTAAACATTTTGCTGGATGTGGAAAGGACATCTTTCACAGTTCTGTTTGTTCATCAAAGTTCAACATCCAGCTAGCTGTCTTTCATAGTCTATAGCAAATGAGGTTGCCAGAGACGGGACCTTTGCTTGATAAGCTGATCTACTATGGTGATTAGGGTTGCCATTAATTCAGAAATTCTTGTCACTGAGCTCTTGTGCATGTTGATTCCATAAGATCTACTGTAAATGGGCAGCCCTTTAGTGCCTAACCAACAAATACTACCACACAAAACCGACATGGTTTATGATGGTTTGCCTACTTGGGTCTAATAAGTAGCGCTATTGCATCCTATTCTGAAGAGGTTGCTAATCACTTCTTCTCCCCACCGTACGGTGTGCAACCAAATAGAGCGATACTATTTTAAGCTTGCATACCGTACAGTAGGCAGAAAAAGAGGCACCCCTGTGAAATGAGTTGTTAGGGACTTGGCTTCTTTGGTGCTGAAAATGTATTTTATTTGCAATTTGTAAGTAACCTAAAAAACTAGGTTATTCAAAGGAGTTTACAAAGGGTCTGTTTGACAACGGGAAGTTGGTTGTTATCTAGAACCCAGAAGTTCCTTCTCTGTGAAGCTGGATGTTCTGCCTCCTAGTACTAAAAGGTATTGTGTTTGGTAAGTTGTCTGAAATTTAGAGGAGCTTAGAAACCCGTGTTTGGTACCATTTAGAAATTATTAAACTTGGAGACCTGATAATTAACCAATTTAATCCATACGTGGAAGAATTTGTATTCGAGGGTAATGTTAATTTTAACAAAAATCTAGTAGGTCATCCACAGTAGATCAAGCAAGAAGGATAGATTTGTAAGTTACTAATGGTTTTATAGTGATTTATTGTATTATTATTTATGTTTCCTAATTAATTCTATCTATAAAATCTGTTCTATCCAAGCTCCTGATATACGAAATATAGTTCTTAGTGTCAATTAGATTTATAAACTAATGTTATACGCATCTATCCAAGCTCCTTGTATACGAAATATAATTCTTAGTGTCAATTAGATTTATAAACTAATGTCATACGCATCAATTGGATTTGTTTAGGCTTTAGAGAGAGGGAACTAGAGTCCATACGTGAGAGCTTGGGTTAAAGTATGAGTCATGCATCATATATTCCAAATTAAGAGGAACACGTAAATTGAATATCCCATGGTAAACCATTTTATAAAATATTTTACCACTAACCGATAATCAAATGCGCTATGAAGGTCCTATATCACCAATATATGGTTCTCAAGTGTACGAAGATAATGAGAGATTTTTATTTGTATATGAATTTTTTTTTTTTTTTTTTTAATTTGATTTACATTGTCCTCCCACAGTTGGGATGCAATTTCATCTCCCAGTTGTACTCCTTCGACATGGTTCTCATTATTTTGCGCTGCTACTTGATCACCGTCATCTACCTCATTGATTATGATCTCAAAAATTCTTTCTCCAAATTGCAGCTCATACAAACCATCCACTCCTCTCATTCATCATGATAAAGTTGTCCAAAACAACCATTGCAATTACTATTTTGACTTGTGTGTTGAGTGGATACAGAAATTGCTTCTTTAGAATTGGTAAGTGTGCTTTCCATAACCCAAAAGTTCTCTCCACAACATTCCTCAAGGATGAATGGACGTTATTAAAAAAATCTTTAGCGTTATGAGGTGCCCCATTGCCAGTCTCAAAATTACTTACATGGTAGCGAACCAATCTATAGGAAGCAAAGAACCCCTCATGGTCAGTTAGCCCCCATCCACAAGATAATATTTTCCTGCACAAGTTGGACAAACATGGTCAGTTACTTAACTACTATACATAAGAGTTATAAAATTGAGCTACCTTTAGGCATTGTTAATTGACCGGTCTCCCTTTCCAAAGCATCGTACAAGATCTTGGAGTCCGATGCAGATCGTTCCCATCCAGCAATTATATATTGGAATTGCAAAATTGAAGCCCATTATAGCTATCACATCTTGGGATAATACACCCTTCCTATTATGAAATCGTCTATGCATGTGGCTCTTAACCCACGTTGGGATATGGGTTCCATCAATTGCGCCTACACAATCCTGATAGAAAATGCAATGAATTGTTTAGCCATTGTAATGGAGGATTTTTTGTTAAAATCAGTGCTACTAATTTTGCAATGAATTTTAAAATTTACTATTAGTTACCTTGAAATATGGGTCATATCTTTCATTACCAGCTATGTGAGCTGGTGTTTTTGTCCCTAGAGGCCATATAAACATTTTTCCTATAGCCAAAATAGCCTTTTGTACTTTTTTGAAATAATAACGAATGGTTTGGCCGGAGTGCTGGAAATGAATTTGTGTCATCCTATTATGTTCGTCATGTGTAACAATGCTTATGAATATGACTACTTGTTCTTCAATTGATACAAATCTAGTATTTCGCAGTGTGGTCTTGTCTCTTAAAACCTACAAAGTTCAATGAATGCAGGACGTTCCATACGCAATAGATCAAAGCAATTTTGCTCATGTCCCTCTAATATATAGGCAACAAACTTCAGCCCTGTGAGTGGAGCAGTGTGAACTCTCTTCCTCATTAAATATGTATTGTAGTACCGAAAGGTCACATAACACATGACATATAAACCACATAGCATTGCACTGAATGTAAGCCGCTCGAAATGATCCATATCATCCATAACTAGAAATTAAAGTTGAGAAGACATATATAAATTCAAAGAGGAAAATTTCACATTTTACAAATAGAAAAACACAAACACATAAGTTAATTATTTGTCATCAAATAGATAATATCACATTTTATACAAACGAAAAAAATAAATAGTAATGTCATATATTCACCAAATAGAATTACTTATGCATATACAAACCACACATAAACATAATGTCAAGCATTTTCATTAAAAGAAGAACGTCTTGTTTCATCAATAGGAAAACTACTCCAAGAGATGAAGTTCATTGATCCATTCAGATATAGTTCAAGACAAACAAAAAGGAGTGCTTAGACTGCCAAAAGTAAACTTTTATGAGTCCAAATAAAATAAAATAAAATGGCTAAAGAAAAACTTCACGCCAAAATATTAATTTGCCAGTGGTCTCATGTCCTTCTCTAGAAACGCCCCTTGGTACTCATGCGACAAGGCTAGGAACATATGAACTTTAGATGCATTTTGGAAAATACAGTTAGCCTTCAAGATGGCTTCTAAGCCCGCCTCCCCTTTCTTATATAGCTCGTCAACATCATCCACGCATTTCTTCATCTTTATCTCATGCTGAATGGTAGCTTGGAGACTCGTCATAATTTCCACCAATTTAGTTAAATTTTGAGCCACTTGTTTAGTAGGAGTGCCTTGCCTTTTCTTCTCAGACACCTCAAACGGAGTATTAGGGTGGGGCCTCTTATATTGCAACGATGATGTTCTACGAGCATTGCTTGGTGTCGATATATCGCTATCCTCATCACTAGTATCTAAGTGAGGAGACTCTATTGGTGAATCATCTACTTCAAAGGGAGGTGCACTATTATCGGTGCCGTCGTCAACCAAAGTCTCACTATACCTCCCATCAGCAACAGTGTCTCCAAACATCTTGTCCAGCACATTAACATCATGAGCACTCTTGCCTCTAAACTTGCCAGCCCATGGGTAATCCTGTGAAGGTACAAATATGTACTACTAAGAATTCCAACTATCTAAAAGATATGACTTCTATAAAAGGATGCCAGTGGAACAATAAACTAACATTTATATATTGATCCCAAAGTTCATTCTCAACGGTCACCATACCTCTCAGCGGATCCCATCCAAAGCCAGTTGACCCGATTAGTTTCTTGAGCTCAGAGTACATTTTCATAATCAATTTGTGTTTGTTTTTCAATGTTTCACGGTCGAATGAATCACCATACAAGGCCACTATCTTAGCACTCATCCTATCCCAGGCTTCCCATTGGAAGCCCACATGAGGTCCCTTTTTCTTCACATTCTTATGTTGGCTGTTAGTTTCTCTATTCTTCTTTACCTCATCTACCATAAACTAAATGAAAGAAAGTTCTTGAGTAGTACTCCACTGAGAAATTTTTTGGGATCTACTCCTGGGTTGTGAAGTTGGAGGCATAGTTGAAGGTTGGGTGTCCATGCCTATGAAATTTAGATATCACATTCCAAAGATTCAATACAACAACAAGATACCATAGAAAAACCATTATAAAGAATAATCACATTTATGTATCCCATTTACAAATGCACTTCAAGTTCTTTCTTCCAAATGAAAACCCCAACCATGGTACCATCATTCAGCACAACAAGATTGCCTTACCCCATTATCAGATTGCGTTACCCCAATTTAGGTTTCCTATAATTATATAAGGTTCACCAGATAAAAATAAATATATAAGTACGCATAACTGAAGTTATGGGCTTTATATAAGCCCTACCCAATAAAGCTAATACGTAAGCTTGCAAAACTGAAATTACAGGCTTTGCATAACCACATTGTGCGAAGTGATATCTAGCTAGGACTTACTATTACATAAACAATCGCATCACAATTTAGCAACCATCACTTTAACCAGTTAAAAAAACAAGAAAATCAAAAATCAAAAATCAAAAGATGCCAATAAGAAGGTAGAAAAATATAATAACCAATGCAAAAAATTCATTACATATCAGCACATTATTTAACAGTCATCTTTCATATTACAGATAGACACATTGTTATGGCTCATTTTGAAGAATTAAAATATTAGTAAGGATTATGGATGCACTAATAGACAAGGTGTACTAAGGATAAATGGCTGAAACATGCCTGTTTTATTGAACGTTTATCTAAAATCAACATGTGCATCACTTTATGGAAACACCAGTAGCTTAACATCCAAAATTTCAGCAAATAACAATAAAAGGTAAACCATGGGATAATTATCCCAATGGACAGTATTGATCTTAATACCATGCCTCACTGCCAACCTAATTGCCTTCTCCCACCATGGCTGTAAGGAACTCCAGAAAGTAACTCAAACTGAATATTGTCTCTATTAAATCCACTAATCTCCATAGGCAAGCCAATTCACCATGAATCCATCCAATGATGTTGATGCAATCCCTTTCAATAACTAGGGGCCCCAAAAACTTCAGGCCAGTGAGAAAAACGTCTCAAGCATATAGGTTTTTGGAGACCACATCTTAGAGCAAGGCAGAGGATATGAACTGAGGCCCATCATTTTGAGTTTAAGAAAACAATTTGATGGGGCTGGCTCATAACAATATCAATTTGAGAGCTGTTGGTGGACCTCAAGCCTAATGTGTATAAAAAAATAAATTGAGCTTTTTTTTAGTTACTGATTTTCAGCCATAGTTGTGTCGCTTTGTCTCTCTCTCTAAACTTCTAGCAATAGTTCTATCTCTCTCTCTAAAATTTCAGCAACACTTTATGGATGATTGAGATTGTTGAAAATGTTGTGGATCAAGTAAGTCTCGGCTTTGTTGCTCGCCACAGACGGAACAAAATAACACCTACTTGCCAACCATTAAATCTATTCTATAACGAGAGGGCTGTCACGACCCACCTCTTGACTCCTGCTGTGCCAAACTGGAGGGCGACAGAGTGCGGGACCGCGATCTGAGGTCGCAAACGCCACTCAGGTCGGAGTGGCTCAACGCTTTATTAAATGATAAACAACAAAAACCATGAAAGAAAGCAAAACGCCCACCGGGAACATAACAAAAGCTGGATAAATTAAAACCATTTCAAATCCATATACAGTCTCGAAGGCCATAAATAATATCCAGATTATTACAACTCATCTAAGGTACTACAGGCCTGACCACAAAATACATAACTTCATAAAACAACAACTACATGGCCGACGACTAACAAACACCTACACAAGAATAGAGATCCACTCGTTGAGCACGGGATTTCAGTACACCAAACACAATCACCTCCCACCATCCTCGATCTGCAGCAGACAATCTACAAGAATGGAACCAAAGGAATGAGCTAAAAATCCCAGTAAGTAGATCACAACATCATGCTTCCCTTCCTATGGATACTTTCTCACAATGCGATCAATATTCTAAGCCATGCTAATAAAACAGGAGTCATGCATCACAATTATGTCACAATTATAAGATGATGCTTTTCATGGTAGAGCAGGCACAATATAAGATATCAGATATCATATATACTAGCAATCTATCAGATTTCAATAGATCAACACAATTAAGAGAGAAAAACAAAAATCAACAGACACAACCCACTCTCTAGCCCTATCTATCAGGCCAAACCCATATCTCTCAAATCGATCATATAACTTAGGTAATCATATATCTCAGGTCAATCTCATAACTCATATCAATCACACATTTCAAGTCAATTACATATCTCACGAGACTACCTATCTCGAGCGATGCAGTTTGCTCAAAGCATTGGCGAAAAGTCACATATCACCTCGTGCGCACCTCACTGGTACTAGTCATGGCCATGCAATATGCTCAAAGCATGCCAAGTAAATACATAACAGTCACAGTATCCAACTACCAATGGGTGACCCATTGCATAGTGGTCAGTATCACAGTATAACAACCTTAATACATATCACCTCATGCGCACTCAGAAGTCACATATTCCAGTCAATGTAATATGCCCAAAGCATGCTGAGAAACCCTGTAATATCAAAGATATCACCATGTTAACAGCCAGCCATGCAATATACTCAAAGCATGCCAATAAATCACTATCACAATATTACGTATCACAGTATCATATATCTTAGTATGATAGTATCCCTCTTCTCAGAGAGTATTGTTTCATATCACAGCATAACATATCTCATCTCATAAGCATTCTCTAATTCAGAGCATTCACGGTGTCATAGAAAGATATACATAGCCCCTGATTCATCAAGAATCTCAGCATAGTAACAACATGACAATTAAAGTAGACACAACTATCTCTCACCCAAAGGTAGTATGAAGTCAATTGATAGCCATTTGATCAGTCAACACTTATGCACAACATAAATATTGGTGCTGGAATTCTTGCATTCTACTATAGTGACATGTCCCTCTTATCAAAGTCATAACTCTCAATCTAAAGGGCGTCTCAAAATAATTTCAACATGAAACTTTAAGCCAATATACTGATCTTTCAAATGGCAGAGGTTTGGGAGTAATTGGACTCCATTTGGTCTGCCAAAACCTATAGCAATAGAGGTCATAGTTTTGAAATTCAGCGAATCTGTAATCAGTGACATGCCTCCACAATTTGGTTCATAACTTCACAATTATATAGAATTTGAACTGGGTTAAAACATAAAAATCACAATAGAGTCATATATATTTTAAATTTCTATGATTTTAAGTAATTTAGACTTCAATAGGTCAGGAAAAGTCTTAGTGCGACAGAAGCAATGTTCCTGAAAATTATAACAGTCTACTAACAGTGACATATAAGTACAAAACGAAGTATATCTTCCAAACCATCAAGAATCTCTGCTAATCATAAACACCAAACTCAAAATATATGGTGGTAATTTGAGGCAATTATGATACCAATTGGTAGGTCAACAGAGAATCACAAGAACCTAAATTCTCCTTGGAATCCCACAGTCCAGCTATAACATACTTCAAGGATAAAAGCATAACTTCTAAACTACACAAGATAATCATTCACACAATTTCTATACATGCTCAAAACCTAACTCATGCTTAATTCAATACTTCATTCATGATTAAATCTCATACTTTCATGCTTAAAAAACATGTTCCATACTATGGACACATAATAGCATAATCCACTTACCTTGAGTGCTCCAATGGTGACCAAAACATACACACATCTCACTCTTCTCCAAAGTTCTCAAGCTTTCATACAACCCACCTCCACTCCTCTCCAAGTTCTCCTAAAAGCTCAAAGGGTTTGAAATTGCTAAGGGTCTTTGTAAGAGAAGACAAAATTCTGTGTAGGGTGTGAAAGGTAACATTTATGAGCAAAGGGGGAAGGTTGTGGGCAAGTGGCAAGTAACGATGCTCAAGTATTAAAGAATGGCAGCTTGCTGTGGGGAAACAAGTGGTAATCATGCAAGGCACAATATAAAAAGGTTCCCCCCCTGGCATTCACGCATGGTGTTACACATTGCACGTATGGCGATAGCACAACCGATGCTAACTTCTCTCTCTCTTCACAGCCAGCGATACACCCATGCTTCACAACCGGCTTTAGTCCATTTCACGTGCAGCGTTCCTCCCTTGACGCGTGAGGTGTCTTCCTCTATTCACGCACGACGTTGTCTCACTCTCCCCTCTCCAAATGACGTTGCCTTGCACTCCCTGCCGGTAAGTGTCCTTTCCTTTTCTCTAACTCAAAAAAAATTTGGGTTGTTAAAGCGAAACACCCATCAGAAACATAACCAAAGCTGGATAAAATAAAACCATTTTATATCCATATACAGTCTCAATACATATCACCTCATGCGCACTCAGAAGTCACATATTCCAGTAAATGCAATATGCCCAAAGCATGTCGAGAAATTTCATATCCCAAAGATATCACCATGTCAACAATCGGCCATGTAATATGCTCAAAGCATACCAATATCTCAGTATGGTCATATATCACAGTATAGTCATATATCACAGTATGGTCATGCAATAAGCTCAAAGCATGCCATTTAACCACATATCACAATATTATGTATCACAGTATCACATATCTTAGTATGATAGTATTGCACTACTCAAAGAATAGTGTTTCATATCACATCGTAGCATATCTCATCTCATAAGCATTCTCTGATTCGGAGCATTCACGGTGTCATAGAAAATATACATAGCCCCTGATTCACCAGGAATCTCACCTTAATCACAACATGAAAATTGAAGCCAACACAGCTATTTCTTACCTAAATGTAGTATGAAGTCAATTGATAGCCATTAGATCAGTCAACACTTAGGCACAATTGGTGTTGGAATTCCTGCATTCTACTACAGTGATATGTTCCTCTGATCAAAGGCATAACTCTCAATCTAGAG